TTTCCAAACAACGCAAACATTAATAATATAAGGTCAACGGAAGTTGCTGCTTAGCCATTAATCGCCTATAAACTATTCCGAAGACTTTTGATGAAGATAAGCTGCATTCGCTGGCTCCACAATTTGCTTCATAAATAAATTTTGACTATGTGGGTGTTTCGGCTTTTAGCTAATATTTATTTTTTTTAATTTATTTTGTATGTTCTAGTCAATGAATTATTAACCCAACAAACTTCCATTTTAACAGCTTGCGCTACTTCTGTGCTGTTTAAGATAAGATAGAAAAATATTGTAAGCACTAATTTATAAATTATGTAAAAAATTGGATATGAAATATTGTAACTAAAACAAACTAAAACAAAAATTGTTTTTATAATGTATGAGATAATATAAGGACCATGTATACAAATATATCATATCGAAGTATTGAAACAAAGGATAACATATTTATTTCGTATAGATTTACACAATCATAAACAGCATAACCCTAATTTTAACAACAAATTTAGTTATAGTTTATCTTATAATCATATAAATAAAACAAATAAAAAAGTAAATAAAGTCTAGGACTGGATATCAATCAATATCGCTAATTAATTGACTTAATTAAATTCATATAATCAATTTATTAGTTATTAATTACATTTTAGTAATTCTTTTTATTATATCATGTATTTTCTATTTATTATAAAACATTTGTTTTATTTATTAAATCCAAATTAAATTAAATTTTTGGTATTACATACTATTGTCAATTATTCTATTAATATTGAAACTTAATCTATTATGACTCAAGAGTTAATTAACTTCATTAAGTGTTGCCATACAGAAGAATATGCAAAGCCCGCATCAGCAACAAATAACTCTAAAGTCACCGACTAAACATTATAAGATAATGACATCAATTAGACATAGATTTTCTGACACTAATAGCGTTTACGAGACTAATATATACATAATTGAACAATTAACCTTAAGAATTCACTATATTTGTTGACAGGTGGACTGCATTGTAAGCCAAACAGTTTAATTGAGAGTTGCAATTAAATACGAAATCTGAGCATTACTCATCCCAAAGCCTCTGTTTGTTGGGTACTTTTTCATATAGAAATTGCAAAGGTTCTGGTAACAGATGAGATAGAAAAAGCTCAGTCTTAAACATATATTAGTTCTATATTTCGTTACCTAACCCGATGTGGATATGACGATAACAGATGAATTTACGATTATAATGACGAAAAAACATAACTGAGTTCAATAAATCATTAACTAGTGGAGAAAACAATCATGTCGCTGAGATATTAACGCCCAGATTAGGTGAAATACTAATAAATGATCTCTGGTCTTTAGCAAACCTGTAGTTCATGTGGTTTATGAAGCGCTAAAGCACTACTGTTCAATTGCGCTCTTGCTTCAACGATTGCATACTCCAACAGACGGATTATGTAAGAGTTACCATTATAAAGAAGAAGTGGAATCCATTAATCACTATTTATTAATTTCCCCAGAACTGAAGGAACAGAACTGATCTCCTAAGCTTGATCTTGAGGTTTAAATGAATTAACAAAGTCAACCTAACTCCATGTTAGGGTTATCTAATCTATTTAATCAAATCTGAAAATAAAGAAAAATCTTTCTGATTGATTAAACCTACATCAAACCGCGGAGCATTATGCCACATTTCGACAAGCGGATTCTGACACAATAAGAAGGTTCAATCACTATCTATGTCTTTCTTCACGACTCGCGATAAACTGGTCTTATTTTACAAGTTTAACCTAGACGATCAAATGATTTAATGAGGTCATCACATTGAATTAAATTGGAAATAATAATTAAAGTGGCAATATGAGATATGAGTATATATGTATATAAACAAACCCTCTCAAAGCTACCTTACCTATACATAAAGAAATAGCTATATAATACATTATTTTCAGTCTTTGTCTTAAGTAGGATAAAAGACTTTTTTTAAAACTGAAAATGTGTGTGCATTTGCATAATTCATCATTTTTTAAAATATTAAAATTTTATACAAAACCAATAATCTCAAAGGCAACAAATTTTCATATTCCATAAAAGTGCCAGTATCCTTTAAAATAATTTTTTTTCTAAAATAGTTTTTTCAACAAACGTGGCATTTTATAACACATTCGCATTACTTTTAACACTTTGCATACAATAAAGGACCTTGTAGCCAATTTACAAAGCTTGAAAAACATTAGATCCTTTGGGAGGCAGAAGTAGCAAATGCAATTGCAACTGTTTTTATGCAGTGCATATGCAAAACATAAACAAATTATTTACGCAACTGCTCAGATACAATGGAAAACCGCGTTGGTTTCAGCTGAAAGTGAAGAAAGTTCCTTTCACTTTTCCAAAAAAAAAAAGAAAATCCAAAATAAAAATGTGAAAATGGAAAATTCATAGCATTGCAGTATCGTTCCATTGCATGCAAATGCCAGCAAAGCGCAGAGGCTGTGCTATTTTTCATACATTTTCTCTGCGATAAAAAGAAAAATATTTCCACACATTACTCGAGGGTAATGTGAGATTTTTGTATAAAAATTCAGCAAAAAAAAACTCTTGAAGAAATTGTTTATTTTTTATTTAAGCTAATTTAAAATTCGTTTATACAAAGTTAATAAAAGAATACAAACTTATTTGGAAGGAGCGATTTATTTATTCCTTATGCCAGAATAAGTGATAAATAAGTTCAAATCAAAACGATATTCTAGCTAATAATAAATTATATACTATGTTATAAAATAAATTAATGATGATTTATTAAATTTATTATCACATTTTGACTACAAAAATATTTAAGGTAGGTGAGGTTATACCGGCCATTCAAAGGAACGTAACTTAAATCGACTTTAATAAACATTTAAGTTTATTTAAAAGATCTATTAACATTGTACATATTAGGATATCCTGGTTAAAAACAAATTATGTATTATGTTTTAATATAAATCGATGTTAATTTCTTAAAATTATTTTCACATTTTTACTATAAACACAGCAAGTGAATTTGTTAATAAAACTTTCAGTGAATTTGCGAACATAAAAGTAAACTACGGTTTTGTATGAGATGGTTAAGGTGCACTGACTCTGAACAACAAATTTGGCAGGGCACGAGTTCAATTCCTGATACTTGCAGTATCAAAAAAATTATTTACGAATAATTAAAAACAACAAATAATTCCAACCCCACTGATGATGGGTATTTGGCAATACTCGAAACAGCTGTATGGTCAATTAATTAAAATAATATAATGAAGAATTTTTGTTGTTCTAATTCATCACTGTTCGGAAAACCTCTTCATTTTTACTATATAGAAACTTAAGTTTATTTAAAGTATCTATTTGCATTGCATATATTGGGATATTCTAGTTAATAATAAATAATATGTTATGGTATAATATAAATTAATGATGATTTTTTTAAATTATTTTTATATTTTTAGTATATAAAAATTTAAGTTTCTTTAAAGTATCTATGTGCTAGCATTTTATTTTTTTTTGTAACCTTGACAGACGAGAACAAACATTTTACAGAAAAGCGCGAATGGATTTTAAATGAGAACGCGGCACAAAATTTTAATTAATTACATAGAAAGAATTTTTTGCGAAATGCACGTTCCCAAATGCCTTTTGTAATGTTGAGAGAAATTCTTATATTAATGAAAAAAATGCATTGCTTACATTCTTGGTGCTTTAATTATATTTAAATATACAAAAAAGTACAAAGGAAATGAATTTCGGAATCTTTGTATTTCATGAAATTTTTTTTATTTTAAATCAGTTCAAAGTAATTTTTTCCTAAAAAAAATATTTTTAAATAAACTTCAATTTGTAAAGAATAAAAGCACTCCTTTCTTCTATGAAATGAATAAAATACGCAGAATTTTAATATTATTAAAGAGCGAGTTCAAAATTCGCAACCATAATGTTATAATTAGAATAAATAAAAAACAAGAATTTCCTGCAAAGGTTTCTTTTTGCAATAATAGCTATTTAATATCAACTAATTTTATAGAGACTATACGAATAAATAGTGCAGACACCAAGAAAATGTGTTGAAAAAATGGAGGACTGAACGCAAATCGAAAATCACAAGAGCATGGTCCTCCTCGAAGTAATACGAAAACGGTTCTAAGGGGGAATAACTCTTGCCGAAGAGGAGATGTTTTAGTTCGTATACTACATATTAATGTTAAGAAGTCGGGCACATCATGCCGACGACAGTCTATCAATGACATAGATCTATATATCTATCTATCTATCTATCTATCTATCTATCTATCTATCTATCTATCTATCTATCTATCTATCTATCTATCTATCTACCTATCTATCTATCTATCTATCTATCTATCTATCTATCTATCTATCTATCTATCTATCTATCTATCTATCTATCTATCTATCTATCTAGCTATCTATCTATCTATCTATCTATCTATCTATCTATCTATCTATCTATCTATCTATCTATATATCTATCTATCTATCTATCTATCTATCTATCTATCTGTCTATCTATCTATCTATCTATCTATATATCTATCTATCTATATATCTATCTATTGTAGGATGTATTGTAGGAATTTAACTTTCAAAGTTTTGGTGTCATATAATCAGTGGTTGATCCCAGATCAGATTTGACCAATTCAGAATCACTTTTTTGGGTTCTATCGAAAATTGTATAGTATCAATAGTTGGTTGCTTTTCCACTAGTTTTACGTAAATGATGAAACAATGCATTGAGCCATTTTTGACGTGCACGAACAAACAATCTTATCCAATTTTAGTATCAATTTTAGTATATTTAACAACATTCAATTTAGTGATCTCGTTCTTCCATAATTATAAGAAAACTATATTTAAAACTATATTTAAAAAAAATAGTTATATATATATATACTTCATTAAATAATTTTTTAATTAATAATTTTTCTAAAATTCTATTCTATATTATTCTAATTTTGTTCTTTCAGTTGGACCTGCAATTACAGGATGAAGCTGGTGGCGATATTTCTAGTTTTATAACGAATGGCGAGTGGGATTTATTAGGTAAAAAACCAAGTGATCCAATTACTTACAAAATAAATAAATGAACCATCCGTATGAAGTATAATAATTTAATTTCATCTATGACTTTTCTTTTACAAAATAATGTTTACATCTTCTAATGCATAATTTACAATTTTTGCATTAAATTTTGCATTTAATTATAGGTGTGCCTGGTAAACGAAATGAAATCTACTATAATTGCTGCCCAGAACCTTATATTGACATAACATTCGCCATTTTAATACGACGAAAAACTTTGTACTATTTTTTTAATTTAATTGTGCCGTGTGTACTGATTGCCTCAATGGCATTGCTAGGTTTTACACTGCCACCAGATTCTGGTGAAAAACTTTCGCTTGGTAAGTTCGTTCTACAGTAGCAAACACAATTGCATGGTGTGATGAAAAGTATTGCCAGATAAACAAAAGTAATTTGAAACTAAAAAGTAGTTGAAATTAAACTGAAATTGAGTCAATTCATTTCTAATCTTTCGTCCGCCTGCTCTTTATCTTTATCTTTAACCTAACTATCAAATCTTACTTTGAGAATTGCTGAATTCGCGCTAAGTCTCTATAAGCCTCGCTCTGTCTAATATTGATGTAAAATGCATGTAGTATTATTAGTTGTTTTTGTTTTTCTTTTATGAAATGTAGTATGTCACACACTAACTGTTGAATCCTTAATGAATCCAATTAAAATAGTTAAATAATTGTAGCTTAAAATTCCTTTGTCTCACGAACTCCCTAGAAGAATATTGCAGTGGTAAATAAGTAAAGTAAACTTTTCATTAAAATTTTGTTTGTTAATAAATCTTAATATACCAACAAAAAAAGCACAAAAAATGAAAAATATATTTTTTAGAAAATAGTAGCATTGTCAAAACATCTTGTTTGTCTCAGTGGAAATGTAACTTAAATGCTGCAAGCAAATTTCAGCAAAGTGAATGCAAAGATAAACAAAATCAACATCAGTTCTAATCAAAGGCGACAGTAAACTGAACTGAAATAACGAGAAATAAGGTCTCTCATCAGAATTACAACAAATGAAAAATACACATTAAAATAAACAAAGCTTCAAACAACAACAAAAAACAACAACAAACAACAATTAGAACCTTGACCTACAGGGTATCTGCAGAATGTTAAAACTTTTAATTCCCTGCCATGTGAATTTAGTTTGCGGTACAAAAGGAATTTTTTTAAAAATTCCGCCTAAACAAAATAAACAGTCATCAAAGTATTAAAAAGCACCTATAATGTTTTCTTACGCAAAAGCACAAATGACGTAGCACATGCAACACTAACCTGGAATACACAAGGCAGTAGCACCCGAAGACGACCAAGCAATTCTTGGCATAGAACCATAAACAAAGAAACGAATAAATCGATATTTGATATGAGATAGCCTAAGTTAGGCTAAGTTTATATAATCAAATATTGTACAGAACAAGCAATAATAATAATAATAATAATGCTTTCTTAAGATATGAGTATTGCTATAGATAATAAAAACTGCTTGTGAAAGTCAAAGAGGAGATATATACTGTGTGATGCACGATATATTTTAAAGTAGAACTGTTCTTTATAGTTAAAGTGACTTTAGTTGGCAGCATAGCGATTACTTGAATTAAATAGATAATATATTAATCTTCATGTTCTACGCTATACGTCTTGAGTTTCTAAGATAGGAACTAAGTGAGTTCAATTGGCGTCATACCGATTGCTTGCAAAAAATAGATAATGTACTCATTTAAACTGCAGTTTCTTCTCTACATGCCTTGAATTTTGAGATATGAATTAACATCAAAATTAATATAAGATTATTACATATATTTAACAATGCTATGGAACAAAAATGTAAAGAACTGTGGCTTCAAATTCACAATAACACAAAGTCATCTTTTTTTCGAGGAAGTCATATATGGAAAAATACCACAGAATCCAGTCCAAAAATCAGACTTTTATAAACCAATGCCTATGAAGAATTTTACGCTTCTAGTTACCTCAGAGAATATACAATATCGAATTGTGAGGTCGGACTAGCCAAACTAAAAGAAATTCATAAAAGCAGTTAAGGCTAAATAGGACACATTCTATGAACATCAAATAGCAATATTGCTTGAGAAGCACTAAGTTGGAGTCAACAAAGTTATAGGTAACTCAAGGCACTGGTTATACATGCCCTGAAGAAGAATAGTGGTATGCTAATTACAGGATACAAATTATAAATGGAACAACAACGTTATTATTAACTTAATAAAATTGAATTTAAATTTGAAATACCTGGGTGGAAGGCATCCAATACATACATATATGTATGAAACAATGCCATCTCTTTCACATATTTTTTTTGTCCTCTTCCATCTTTCTTAAAAAAATCTATTTCATTTAAATTATCTTTCAAATTATTCTACTGATTTTCAATTCATTATTTTTATTCCTATACCTAGTTTCTTAATTAAAATATATATTGCAATATATATATAGTCTCCACGTTCTCAAAATCACCCACACCGCGTGTAGGGTGCATTTAAGAGAATTTGTAGAAAACATTTTAAATATTTGCAAATAACTACAAAACTAAAATAAAATAAAATAAAATAAAAATGATTTCGAGCAGTGAAAAAACTTTCTTACCAACACACAAGGATGCTTATAATAAAAGTGAAAATATGCAAAAGGACATATTTAATGTTGATTTTATATTTTTTTTTCTTTCATATACGAAATATGCAACAATATTTTATATAAAATATTATTTAAATTTTATGTAGGGTCTGTGTATCCCTAGCAAAAATAAAATAAAAGAAGTATAAAATATGGTAAATAGAACTAAATAAATATAAATAAAAAAGCAAACAGAACTTTAAAAACAAAAGAACGTAAAAAGTACAAATCAAACAGAAAAAGAAACAAAGTAATGCATATTTAAGGACACGTATCCTATCTAAATGCCGCATTAAAAGCAAACTCAAGGAAACTTTTAACTCTTTTAGTGCATTTGTGGTATTATCCTTGTAATGCATCGCGGTTGTACGCTGATGTGCAACAGCAAATAGTGCAGTTGGCAGCAGATACCGCAAGCTGCAATGGGCAGTAAATTTCTTGCATCATTAATCATTCTAAATATTGCAGTATTTTTTCATTACCTTTTAAAAGCATCGAAAGTCATCAACGGCTCTGTTGATTTGTGCAAAATCTTTTGTATGTATCCTTTTATCCTTTTCCGAAGTATCGTCTCACTGCAACCATACGTAGCACTTCTCTCCATTTATATATATACTTAAACAATATATTCGTAGAGTAAGTAAAGCAAATGACATGGCAGTTTAGGAGAATGTTCGGTTATGTGGTGACAGCTCAAATAAATAATAACAGCAATTTATTTCTTTTGTTTTCTCATTAAGACTTTTGTTGAAAATAATTTCGCAATTAATTTTCAATGATGTTTTGCTCATTAAGATTTTAGTTTCGCTTAAAATTGATTGCCATTAAATTTTATATAAATTATTTTGCTAATATTTGAGTATAAATCTAGCTTTATATTAACTCTCATATTATCTTTCATATGTAACTAAGATACATATCTGTTGATAAAAAAAAGTTAATAGTACTCAATATTATGAGAGTATTCAGTCTATATTAATGTCATTTGATCTTTAATAATTAATATATTCTAAATTACCACTTTTCTTAATGATTTCTGGTCGCATTTATTACTCATATATAATCATCAGTGACTATACAGTCCATGTAGAACCTAAGCCTGTTCAAAAACAGTCTTCCATTCTTCTCTGTTTTTTGCTTTTATTTTCCAATTACTTATGTTTATTTTTTGTAAGTCCTGCTGCACACTATTTGTCAATCGTTTTCTTCGTCACCATTTTCGTCTACTGGTTCCTACTTCGTTCGCATAAATCTTAGGCGGTACTCTTACATTCGGTATTCTTATCACATATCCAACCCATCTTAATCGCTGCTTTGTCATAAATTGGTTGATTGTATCACCTTCAGCTAGCCGTTCTAGCTCGTGGTTGTATCTTATGCGTTACATGCCATTTACTTTTACGGGGCAAAAATTTTGCTGAGTATTTTCCCTATCTTACTTGCTTCAGTTATTACTCATATATAGTATTTAATATTAACCATACTTTTTTTTTGGCACTTAAACTTAAGACGTAAAAATTTTCTATATTCTCCTATACAGTTAAATTACTTACCACAATTTTTATTACTGATGTATCGCTCTTATTCTAATTATTTTGTTTCGCAAGTCTTGCTTCCTGAAGCTATTAATAATGCAGCTCCCGTAATACAAATGCATGATGATACCATAATTTTCAATCCCTGGTAAAAATAATTGTTATACTAAATCAATAAATGATACTTTACAGAAGAAAATCAAATATCCTCATCTCAATATATTGTATCGTGTATCGTATCATAGATGAGCTGTGGATACGACGATTACATCTTCTGTTCTACATAGTAAGAATTCTTACCATCCTTATCTGTCTTTACCCTAAGTCCAAAGTCGCCATAGCTATTAACTAATTGATGACTTTTATTGATTTCCTATCGCTATTACTTGGTGACCAATAGTCATATTGTGTTTTTTTGTTACTGTTAAATTTTTGTAGACTAGTAGATAGTGACTTATTTATTAATTAATGCAAAGAAAAATATTACACTGCGATCTATGAGATAGGTCACAATGTAATCTATTAGATGTGTTGAATTATGATATATTGATATAGAGATTTTGTCCCTAAAGACAATTAGATAAGTTATCTTACACAATTCAAGTTTATTAATAAAACTAACAGTATAGCATTGATCAAGACCTTACACCTGGTTGGATTTAATGAATAGGATTGTACTTTTTGTTTGGTGATCACCAGTCATGAATAGATACATATTTTACAAAATCTGCAGGTATCGGTGTATTTAGTCACATCTTTGAACACTGAAAATAAAAATTTCACATCTACTCAAGATTCGAGTATCTAATCTATATCCAGAGATTGAAAACCTCTTGTTTTGATACAAATGATCTAATTGGGTTGCTTTAGGTCTTTGTAATTGGCACAGTTTATAACGTGCTATTTCTGAGTACCGATAGAGTGTAACGATAATTGGATACGTCAGATCTATGGATTTGATTCAGACCTTCTTACAATATTTATAAATCGCTGTTTCTTAGTACTTATATATACTTCTTAGTCTCTCATATGACCTAATTGGATTATGTTAGTTTTTTATTATTTGCTTAGGCCTTCTCTCTCTCTCTCTCTCTCTATCTCTCTCTTTCTCTCTTTCTCCCTCTCTCTCTCTCTCATTCTCTGTTCCTTATGTCTTCTCACACAATTTTTTTACTGTCAAATATCTCTTGATGAAGTATCCAGACAAGTTATATGTCAACTCAGATATGAGCTTTAATCCCACTTAATTTTGGTCGTCCAAGATTAAACAGATTTTGAGACGAGCAGTGGTATTAATGCAACATTTCAATGATTATCTTGTCCATTGTAGTATCCTGTCGATATACGATTTTTTCCGACACACTCTGTTAACTTAAACTTAAATGACTGATCATAGTATTCAACTCTTTTAGGAATGTGTTCAACACATGTTTCATGTTTATTACTTTGCCAGTTCATAGTTTTTGGTTAAAACTATTTCTGCCAAAATTTCAATATACTCGTAAATATCGCATCCATACATATTAAAGTTGGGTTTAATAGTAGTGCAACAGCAGCGATGTCAAAGTGTCAGCAGTAGATTCGAATTGTTATTCCGTTATTCCGCTTAATGCAGTTCGGTAGCTGTGAGAAGCGCAAGCGTTTTGTGGATGCGTTTCGCATCTTAGAAAAGAAGTCAAAACTCATGTAACTCATGTAAAAGTTTACATGTAAAACGAAAATAAAGCCAATAAGCGAGTGCATTAGCTGCAGGAAAACAACTGAAACAAAAAACAAGATGTTTTCAAGGAGTTTATGCGTCAATTTGTGTGTGACTTTTAACAGGAAAAGTTCTGTAAAAGAACTGGGAACTTTATACTCAAATGCTAATAAGAAACTAAAATAAAAGATGCAACGACGAACTTTCTTAAGAGAATATTACACTGCGACTTCAGCTGAGTTGAATTTAATATGAACTTATTTATGCTCGTAGATGAAAGCGAAAACTTAAAACAAAAAAATTATTTCGCAAAATTTACTTTCAAAGTATTTTTACTTGAATAAAAAATTTTGTTAAGCTTCACGCCAAAATAAACTGCAATATTCTTTCACTTTGTCGGGACAGAAATTCAAAAAAATGTAAATTTTATTTTTTTTGAGAGCAAAATAGCAACAAACCTTCAAAAATTATTTGATTGATATGATTTCAAAGAGTATCTAACAGCAGTTAACAACTAAAGCAGGCAAAAAGTCAGTTGAAAGTCAGTGAAGTGTTAGGAGCAAAAAATCCTCACAACAGTGCGCCCAACTTTGCTGGTTTGGACGCACTCATGTACTGGTACTGAGCACACTGAGCATACTGAGGTTCAGCGCAGAAAATATGGTAGTAGTTTTTTATTTGACAACTGAAATGACAGTGCTGACAGTATAAATTGTATCAAAACGTGCACGAGGCGAAAGGTGAGAGAAAAACTTTCCAAATTATTAAAAAAGAAAACTTTATTTATGAAAAAAATAAACTAAAGAGTCTCAAAGGTATCTTAAAGGTATACAATTTTCAAAATATTTTTTGTTACTAAATTCCAAGTATCTGCACAGTATTTTCAGTGTTTTTATATGTTTTCTGTAGTATTTGCAGTTATGATGTGTTTGAATTCTAACTATTTTATAATAATGCATTTACTTTTCTATAAGTTTTTGTGGGTAATTTTACTTTATAGGAGTTACAATTCTACTATCGCTAACAGTCTTCCTTAATATGGTGGCCGAAACCATGCCAGCCACATCGGATGCAGTTCCACTACTAGGTATGTTACACACAACTCATTTTAATACCATACACTATTTTGTTTTCTTGTAATATTATTATAATATTTTTAAAAAAAAAGTGTATAAGGGTTTTAGGTTTTTGGAATTATTCATAAATGCTGCACAACAAATAGAAGAGAAAAATTTCATAATAAAAATAGATAGGGAGGTTATTTATTCAATTAAATAAATTTGTTGTGTATAAAATTAACAATGCATTTCTTTAAATATATAATTGATACCATTAACTAAATAAACATTACTAATAACTTAAGTAAAATTATAAACAAAATTTTTTTTGGAAAACTAAATATAAAAATAAAAATTATTTTTGATTTTATGTATAAATAATATAATTTAGTTAAGCCGTTCATTTATTTTATATTATGATTTTAAGTTAATTATGTAATATTTTTTTAATATTAAATTAAATAAAAATAATTAAAATGACTCATACAAAATAATATATAATATTTTGAGTAATATAATATTATATTAAGTATAGTATATATGACTTAACATTAACTTAGAACTACAAAAAGTATTTTTTATGTTGTCAAGTAACTTATAATAATTAAAAACGATATTTTTAATATATATTATTAACTTTAATAAAATTAAATTAATTCATTATATATCAATTATTAAACTGAACTTTTTTTTTTTTGCATAATGTATAACACAAGTATAAGTATAGTACAAATTAATTTACATAAGTATAAAATTATTAAATGTATAAATTTAATATATGTGTATATGTATATATTTATAAAAATTTTAAATTACCCCACAACAATAATAATTTATTTTAAAATACATATATAATCAATTAAGCAAAATTAATTAATTATTAAAAATTAAATTAAAATCGTTAGCAATCTATTTTGTTTTCAAATAACCCGCAATAAAATATAATATTTATAATCAATTAAATTAAATCAAATAATTAAATTATAAAATAAATAGTTAACATAGAATGAACGTAATATTTACTAAATTACATATATAATGAACCAAATAAACATAATTAATTTATAATTGATATTTAAAAATTAATAATAATTAATTACTAAATTAATAATATTTAGTATGTATGTAATCAATTAAATTCAATTATATTTTATTGAATATGTATGTAGTGTTAATTGAATAAATTCTAAAAATGTTTAAAAATTAAACTGAATTCAAAAATTATTGTATAGTTAGAAACTATAACAATAAAATTAAATATATTTAAAAGTATTTTAAAATATTACCTTAGTCTTAATTACTCTTAAATTAATTTATATTATATGCAATTAGTTTTCTAAATTTATCTTGTTTTAAATCAACAAAATATTTTATTTTAAGTTTTTGTAATATTTTATTGAAAATATATTTTAAAATACTATGTACTATAAGCATCTAATAGTTTTAATCTGTACAAAACTTAATAATTAATTCATTTAAATACAAAAAATCAAATTAAAATATTTCAAATTTGCTATACCAAAAGAAAAATTTAAAAATTTAAATAATAAAATAATTTAATATTATTATTTTGAAATATAATATTACATAATAATATTTACTTACAGTATAATATTATATTATTTAAATTTTAATACAATTTTTTATTTGAGGTGAAATAATTTAATATTCGACACATTTAAAATATTATTAGTTAATTATTAAAGCTTTTCAAATATTAAACTATTAAACAGAAGCTATTAATTTTATTATGTATATATATTATTATTATTTATAATTAATAATTATTATTATTCATAATATCATCTAAGCAACTTCAATTCACAATTAACTATAATATAGTAAATAAATAAGAATTATAAACTTAATAAATATATATAAATCTTTTAGTCATATATATAAATTATTGTATAAATAACAATAAGTTATTTATATGTAAAACCAATTTTGTTTTGTGAATTATATTCTACCTAATTACAATTTTTTTCTATAAAAAGAAATTTATTATAAGAGCATAAAAAATTTATTTCTTAATTTTTTTTAAATTTTCTTTTATTTTGTGTACAATAAACACAATATAATATAATATCCTATCCAATATGTTATTTAAATTATTTCTCACTAATTAACATTAAACATACTTCATGAGTATTAAATTAAAAACATCTGTACTTATGTTGGCTAATCTAAAAAAAAATATTATTTCACTAAATTCAGGTAAGATAATATCAATTCAAAAATGTCCATTATTATTTTAATATCACTTTAATTAACCGTAGCAAATTATATCAATTTCACATAATTTTGACAATGTAGTCATTTTTTATTAGTTTAGCAAAAAGAAATAGCATCACATTTTTTTGGTGGCGTTCAAATATTAATAATAAATTAAGTATTATTAAAAAAATCCTTAAATTCACTACCAAAACAATTCTACTAAAATAAACTATAAAAAAAAATATTTAATTTTTATTTTAATTTAAGATAAAATTTTAATTTTATAATACATTATGATAATTTCGTTTTTATTATTATACTTTTTGATGGTATTTTTATGTGATTTAAATTTTAATAGAGTTGGTCATTTTTATATAATGTGTTATTTTAATAAGTTTTTAATTAAAATTATTTATTATTTTTTAACAGATTAGGGAATTTATTTATATGTATAAATATTTTGTGTATGAAATTGTTCCTTTAATTGTCCTGAAATTATAATTTTATTGAAAAATGTAAAGAACACTATTAAGTATTTTTGAACACTGAATACTGCACTCCATGATAACTTTAATTATAAAATTAGGAAAATTTAAAATAATATACAAATTAAAATGATTATTGGCAACACATTAATAATTTAAAAATACAAATATTTTAAATTTATTATTATTTAAATTTATTATAAAATTTTAACAATACTGCACTTGATACTAACATTAATAATATTAAAATAAATTGTAATAATAGTACAAAATAATAAGTGATATAAGCATAAATAAAAGAGTATAATTTTAATATTGATTTAAGATATCTATTACTTATTATTAATATTTTTTAGATTAATTAACCAAATTTCTTATATATTCACATTTAGGTTCTTAACTGAAACAAAGCTTTCTGATATATATCAAAAATATTTTTGAATGTTTATATTATTATTATTAGGAGAGACCATAGTACCGGGACGTTAATGCCTATTCTGAGTACCTTTCACGAACTCAGAGTGTGTCTCTAAGTGATATTTCATCAATCAATAATAGTATATATCTCTTT